ATGATCCTTTATCTCTTTCTCTAGTGGTATGTCTGCAACACAGAGCAGTTGTCTGAATCCCTTCAGCCCATTTTTATCCAGAGTTACCTTGACCAAGGAACACAGATCTTCTTAAACAACAGCATTGAGAAGTCAGGCTGGCTGTTTATCCAGCTCTATCACTCTTTTGTGTCCTCTATTTTTAGCCTTTTTATGTCTAGAACGTCTATCAATGGGTAAGTGAAAAGTTGATCTCAAGCTGCATACAGTTTGGATTTAGAGTTTTCAAGTGTTCAGTCCTACCCCTTGTTCTGTCAGCTCTCCAGAATGTGTAATTTCCCTTTGCTGGTCTGTCAGATGTGAAATGCCCTCCTCTGTTCATCATGCCCAGCCCTGTGAACTGGTGAACCCCATTTCCAGTATGGGGGACAGAGGAGATAATTGCACTTGATAAAAGACAGAGGCTTCTAATTGTATTTTGTAACAATTACTTGCATTAATTTTCTTCTGGCTACAGAGTGTTCTCTGTGTGTCCTCCCTCAGCTTTCTTCCTTCCCCTCTTTGCCCTTTCTCTGTTGCCCCATTATTTCAGTTGCTGTTGTGATTGTCCTGTTGGTGGCTGTGTCCAGCCAGTTCTGTGTTGTACCTAAAGCTCTTTGTGCTGGGTGAGTGTGTGCCTGCCCACTGGAGACCATGGCACGTTCTGAGCAGTGCAGAGCTGCCCAAATGCTGTGTCTGTTAATGCTAATGTGGAATTGTGTCCTTTCTCTCACTCTCTAAGCCAATTCCAGCTCAATTTGTGAATAAGCTGTCCTGGAACAGGTGGCTCCTGATGGAGCATGTTTGACCAGTGAAGCATCAGCAAAGCAGGAAAACATCAGTTGRTCAAACAATGTTGTTCTGTTCTTATTGCATCAGTTGCAGGAGAGTTTGGCTGTTCATGGGTGCTTTAATGGTTTTTTTTCAGACAATTCAGTGCTTTTTTGCTCAGCTCACCCCATTCAGACACATATTTAACAGATTATCAGTTTTGACCTTATGAAGAATGCATTTTTTCCTGCAGTATCCCCACCTCTGCACCTGCTACATACTTGTGCACAGTCTGATACAAGAGAGGAGCTGTCTACTGGGGCTAGRAAAATAGTCTTTTCCCTTATTTTCTACCCAGATGACTTTATGAGCTTCCCTGTGGTGTTCTTAGTTATGTGTAGCTTTATATAAAGGTTCCTTTGGTCTCTTCTTCCTTTCTCTTCCATTTTTTTTTTCAAAGGCTCTTCAGGGCTTTGAATAACACCTCATAATGCTGTTAGGAATAATAGCTATGAGCCAATTACAGTGTGGACTGACACATGTGCTGCAAGGGGGCTCTRCTTAAATTGGATGTAGTCTGTTTATTTTTATACATTTGATATCCTGCTTAGTTTCTTCTCTATGACTTYGTATACTCTATCCTTTTTGTTTCTTTGGGTTTTAGTACAGTCAGTCTTTGCTAGGCCACCTCCTTTTCTCATTTTTTATTCTGTGAGTCTTTTTATCTCTGTTTACCTTTTTTCTGTTTGTTTCATTTTCCYGTTCATTGTCTTTAAGTTTACCTTGCTATCCAACAGGAGTTTAAAGAATAGTATTTATCTACCTGCAGTCTATTACTGACCAGTTCTTTTTCCTCTGCTTGTTCTTCTGACTGTTTCATCACTGAATTCTGCAGTGACAGCTGAGATGTGTCACTGTGTAGTCTTCAAACAGTTATGGGMGGGTATGTCACTGACTTGATCCATGAGGAATCCAACTGTCACCTCTCCCCAATTCCTTAATGAGTTGTCTATTTTCTATTCCACAGCTTTTCATGTTGAATGCAGGATCTGCAGATAGCAGCAAAAACCATTGTARCACAGAATTTAAAAAATCTCTTTTGCCCCTCCAGCAGTGTTACCCCCATCCTTTCTTTCAATCTGTTCCCTGTCTTCCCTCCTTGTTCCACATCCTATTCCTCATTCATTGTGCATGCTTCTGTGTCTGCAGCCATTTTATTTCCTCTGTTATTTCATCTTGGCTTTTTTTTAAGGTAGGTGGCAGAGATTCAAATCTGCAAATGTGACAAATAAGGTTCAGTCTTTATCTTTTCTTCTCTTTCTCTCCCCCCTCCTTTTTTTTTTCTCTTTTTTATTAATGCAATCATTTTCTTGAGCTGCACCCCATGAGCTCTTCCTTTACCTAATCAAATTCCTTCTGGAATCTTAACCACAGTAACTGCATGTGGCTCTGTGTTTGATCTCTGATGAGTGCAAGGCAAGTTGAACTGGATTTAAAACTTACCTGAGCAGTGACTTTGTCTACTATTATGTGTGACCTGTTCCTGCCAAAGCACATTCTAAATTTCTTCAGTGTCTGTCTTAAAGTTTGTACAAAATTGGTCATTTCTCATTTTTGCATTTCAGGCTGTTGGGACGGGGCTCAATGTTTGTGTTTTCCCCAGAACAATTTCAAAGACTGCTTAAAATAAATCCTGAATGGAAATCCCACAGACTTCTTGATTTAGGGGCTGGGGATGGAGAAGTCACTAAAGTCATGAGTCCTCACTTTGAAGAAATCTATGCCACTGAATTGTCTGAAACTATGATATGGCAGCTTCAGAAGAAGAAATACAGGTATTGTACTGAATACTCCCTACATCCTTCGTATCAGACATTACAGTAATCTGTTTGTAACTTAATGAGTGTTTACTATTTCCAGTCAATTCCTTTATTGTTTGATTGTTGTGGAAAAGGTTAACTTGTACAAAAGCAGGAAAACAAACACATCTAATGTTCCCCCTTATCAGTGTTGGTTTTTGTTTCCTTTCTTGCCTGTTGTGTATCAGGCACTATAAATGTTYATAGGGCTGGATGTGTGGCCATACTGATCATTGATTTAGTTTTTTTTTCCAAAAGACCAGAAGGGATCATGTTTGCCTCTTCTAAATGTTGACCTTCCCTGCACTGTCAGCACATCCACAGGGGATTTTTGTGCTTCTGTCTGAAATCAGCTCATTTTAACAGACTGTGTCGCTCTCTGTCCTTTCGCAGGGTGCTTGGTATAAATGAATGGCAGAACACAGGGTTTCAGTATGATGTTATCAGCTGTTTGAATTTGCTGGATCGYTGTGATCAACCTCTGACTGTATTAAAAGATATCAGAAGTGTCCTGGAGCCAACCAGAGGCAGAGTCATCCTGGCACTGGTTCTGCCATTTCACCCCTATGTGGAAAATGGTAAGTGCATGGATTAACAGCTGTTTAGGCAGGTCAAGAAAACATTTGTAGGATCTAGTATCCCAAAGCAAATGTTTAATAAATGACATGTTTGTATTTGAGTTTTTACAAATAACTAGTACAGGGCATGTTCAGAAGTATGAATAGGCCACATGATGTAAGCTCTGTCCTTAACTCCCAGCACACATTGTTGGCACCAACAAAAAGCTCAAATTTGGAAGATCCTGTTCTGCAAGGTCCCACATTTCAGCTGTGTGAACATGGGAAAGCTGGTCCCTGATTAGGGCCTTCACCTACAGATGACCCCAGTTGTCTCTAGTGACCAAGTGACAAAACCATGGAAGCTTCTAATGCTGAATTGAGCAGTTCAGGTCCAGCTATTTCAAGTGTTTCAGATGAATCTCCCCTAAAAATTCATGGAGAGATAACTTTCACTTTCCAACATGAGGTCTCAAAGTAAAATACAGACTTCTGCTAATACAAAGTACTAACCTCTATTAATTTTATATTGATTTATACTGTACTAGTAWCAGGAATAAAAAAGCAAAGTTCAGTACCAGAACCCAGTTATTTACCCTACTTGGATTTTACAGAAATACATGAGAGATTTTCACATTAATCCGTCCTTATGGCTAAACTTCAGAAGAGACTAGAAACACTTTTTATATGCCYGTGATTGTGGATTCAGGCTGAAGCACCCTGAAGGTGGTTTGAATTCCAGGAGGCTGATGTTCATCAGTCATTGTTTGGACTCTGCTTCTCCTTGAGTGTTAAGACTTGTCTGTGGAAAGGCATGGATGCAGAATATACAGAACTAATCATGTTCTGGCAATCACAAATGCATCAAACTGAATCTGATTTTCTCTTTTTACGTGCCAGTGGTATTTTGGTGGGAGAAGAGAGAAGTTTTAAGTATAAGAAACAGTGCCATCAGATGAAGAATTACTTAAAATACTGTATTTGAACTCGTAATTTTGTAACTATTTTGAAAAGTAGTGTGTCTTCAATTAGACTTGGGGCTTGACTTAGGCATTGGTAGAGTATTTCAAGCATATTTGGTTACGACTTACTGTTCCTATAATGTAGAACAATATGACTTTATGAATTTTCCCTTGAAGAAATTCCAAATACCAGYAGTGTCTTTCTAATCTCTCACTGGCACATTAGAACCAAAAAATGAGAAATGCTTTTTTTTGTGTGCCTTCAAAACTCTGTGCAATTGTTTCACAATCATTATTGCACTCCCACATCTGCTTTTGTGCATTTCGTTGGATAACCCCATAACAGACCAAGTACAAYTCCCCAGCTCAACAGGAGGGGGTTAAGTTATGGAACAAACTATTCTAAGTCCACTTAAAATCCTTCATCATTAATCTCCCARCATAGACTGGGAGGAGAATAGAGAGTTAAATTTATAAATTGCAAGGGACTGGAAACCTGTTCTGTGATTGTTGGATGCAGTCATTCCTAACTTGTTGAAAGTTGAAATACTGTTGTAAGATGATTTGTGAACCAATGTCATAATTTTATTCATGGTTCTGACTTGGCAGATGAGTCACTTGCTGAAGGCAGTTTTGTTCCCTTGAAAACAGGCTCAGTTTCTGTTTGCCAGGATTATGGACATGGACCCATTTAAACTTCTTTACACAATGCAGGTTTGCACACACAAGTGTTACAGATTTCCAATTTAAGATTTGTTTAACTGTACACTAAAGAAACAGACAATGAACTGTCAGACTGTCTTCATGATCTAAAAAACATTTTAGAATTTCAGTATTTTCATTCAGCTGTTCTACATAATAATGCATTTTAAAAATAGCTATGTACATATGTTTTGTATATAACAAAACTATACTTGGAACATTCAAAGAGGAGAATGTTTTGTGGCTCAAGTAATTTCTTGTAGCAGCTCATTAAAACCAGCTTGGACCCATGTAGTGAAACTTTTGAATTTTGTAAAGGGACAACAAATGGAAAAGAGTTGGGGCAGGTAAGGTGATAGAKCCATAAATAGAAGTGGAGAAATTATTTTATTCAAAATGAGCTATTTGGGTTCTTACATGCAGTATAATGGGATGGTAATGGTGGAAGCTGTCTCTGTGAATAATATAAAACCTGCTCTAAGAGAACAAAGCAAGGTGGAGGAGGAATTGGAATAGAGAGCTGTGCTCACTGTTTGTGGAATGACAGTGACACCTAGAGTCCAGAGGAGCTTCACCATCAATTCTCTCTGGGGTTTTTCAGTTTWATTTCACCATGCAGAACAATTAGGAATGCATTTATTGCAAGGGTCTAAATTTGGCAAGGGAGCCCAGTGAATCATAAGGTATTAGACCAGTCATGGAGAACAAGTATTACCACAAATTTAGGTTTTTAATAGGKATCTCATAGAGACATCTAAGGATCCTTTGTATTTCCTAACACAGACAGAAAAAGTCATTATGGGATAATACAGGACTGGACTGGTGTTTCTGTAAAATAAAAATGGCATGCCATAGTTCAGAAGTAGTGAACATGGGGAGCCTGGGAGTGTGAAATTTTCTTGTTGAACCTATTAATATCCTTGTGATTGATTGACAGGGATGAGAAGGCAAAGATGTGTTCTCCATTCTCCTGAAATACTAATGATTGAGCTGGAAACCCAGTAGTGTGTAAGATGTCTGTGTTTATATTGTCAGTTTTTTCTGCTTGCCTCTCTAATCCACAGCTTTTGCTCTGTTGAAGCTGCTGTTAAGGCTCATTAACTGTTGGTCTGTAAATGTTACATTGATAACTATCCCATTACCATGACCAAACCCAGAATTTCACCCATGAAATGAGTTTATTTTCTGTTGCTGTCAATTATCAAACATCTTTTGCAAATGCTTAATTCATGTAAAACTAATACATGTAAGTTTACGTAAAAAGAAAATAGAAGACATAGAGTTTAAATCTAAACTGAAAAAGGAAACTTTTATGAAGCATCAGCAGTTGTCTTATGAAGGTGAAGTCTTTTCCCAGGGTTCTTATTCTTGCAGAATGGAAAACGGAATATGTAACACAGACATAAGGTACAAATCACTTGTTTCAGGTGATCTCTTTAGAAAATACTCTTGAAGAACACTGCCCTGCAAGGTTTTGTCCTCTCCCTTTAAAGCAAAGGAATCTGTGAGGAAGCTAAACTTCTCACCTGTTCCTTTGCTTGCACAAGAACTAATGAACAAATGTGAAGTGCTGCACRTGCTCATCTGTTCTGATAAACAGTGTCATCTTCCAAATCATCCTAGGGAAAAAAGGGTTTCGTTACTGAGGTGATTTTTTTCTTTTTTGAGGCAAACTCCATTCTGTTACTGTTCAGTAAAATCCTTTCTCCCTTCTAATGCAGTTGGTTTTGTCCATGTGRTATCTACAGGATTCAGAACATGTTCCTTACCCTCTTGGCTTTTCCTATTCTCCAGGGAGCACAGAGGCAGTAAAACACAGCCCATATTTTCATATCTGAGTGYTCAAACCAAGGACCAGGTCATGTCAGCAGGGACTTGAAGTCTTAAAAGGGGTAATTACAGAGGAAAATTATTGGATCTGTGTGGAAATAAATGAAGTAAAATGTATAGGGGAGAAGTGCTTGACATTGTTCTGTGTTTCATTTGGTTCCTCCTTGCATCTCTGAATGGCCTCCGTGCTTAGAATATGAAAGGATTACCATTGTTTCTCAAGAGAAGCAAGATTTTTCAAGCAAGATTTTGAAGCCATTTTCTTTGCTTGCAAATACATGTGACTTCTAAAGTTGTGTGGTTTGGTTTTGGGTGTTGKKTTTTTTTTTAAATCCTTTACATGGCGCTTGTGAAATGATTGTCATGTGAGACTTGAAGGCATAAATTTGGCATGATGAAGTAAGCTGTGTGGCTTTACCCACTGATGTTGAATACTTAGTTTAGTCTCTGTGTGCTGAGGCAGAGGAAATAGCTTTAAGAATATTGTAGAGCTTTTGTAATAGGTTTGTTGTGTTTCTGTCCCCTACTCTGGGTTAAGGGAGCGAGAGGAACTGCACAAGAAATATTTTGCAAACATGACCTGTTAATAGCTCCAGGCATTTTACTGAACAGTCCAGAACCAGATTTCTTCTTGGCAAAATRCAAACTTCTGGCAGTTTTATTTTTAAATGCACAATTTTAAAAGGGGTGTGTGTGCATATAAATATACACACACATWTGAATATATATATGTAATTGTATGCATATTGCCATTTAGAATGCTTTATAGTGTCTTTGGCTGTCATTCAGAATACTTTCCTTAAATCTCTATCAACTTTAAAAGGAAATTCACCCAATATGCTCCTAAAACCTTTTGGTTTCTCTTTTTCCCCATAAATTTAGGTATTTGTAGGTGGATACTCACAGGTTGTTGGCAGTTTTGAGCATATCTCTGCTTCTGAAGTTCTTGAGCAATTGCTTGAAAAATTTTTCGGCCACTGTTTATTTTCTGCAAATTATTTAAAATATTTTGGTTCAGTGCAACATTTTGAGTTGGAGGAAATCTTTTTCTACCTTTTGTGATTCATTTTACCTGGCTATGTCTTTGGGAATGTTACTAAGTAGCATACAATTTGGCAAGCAGAAGGGTTTTAAATTAGACTATTACTGTGTTACTTAACATATACACTTTCTTTAATGGATATTTAAATGCATGGCTTCTGCTTTTTACACAAGGATAAATAGTGACAGAGGTTCTTAATAGACTTGTTTTAAACACATTAGAGCTTACATGAATCGATCATTGAAAGAAACAGAAAATTAATATCAAAACCTGGTTTTGTCAGAAGTTTGAACAAAATTTACTTAAAACATAAAGGATACAGTGTATTAGAGATGGCCTTTACAGAGATTAACTTCACTGTGTATCCAATGTGTTAAAATAATTAGTCAAGTATAAATTCATAACTAGTTTTGTACACATCTGAAAGGAAACCTTAACAGCTCGGAATGTTTCTTTAATGGAACCATTAACTAATCACAAATTTGATGCTCAATATACTTTAAAAAGACAAAAAAAAGAAGCTCTGAATTGCAGACAAAGGAATTAAAGTGGTAACATACACAGTTCTCTCTTTTTTGGTCTCTCCCACATTTCTTTCGCAGCTTTGGTTTTAACTGGAGGGAGGGAAAACAGATAAAAAAGCAATTAAAATACAAGATGAGAAGTTAGCAGAGCAGTTAAAATTGTTGCCCTTTTGTAGTGTCAGTTTGTGGGTAAGTGTTGCACTAGATCAGCTTATACCATTGGAAAAATCAGAGTTTTCACACGTGTAAAGCCTTTTTCAGTTTCTTGTAGTACAGGCTGCAAGTATTTTTGCTTTGAGTACAGTGGGGCCTACTTGAAACACTATTTAATTCTCAAAAAGGAAGTGACATCACTGATCCATTTTTTTTCCCCTGCAGAAGGCTTGTTTAATTTCTCACACTGTACTCTTCACTCTGTACCTTCCCTTGTAAAGAAAAGCAAAAAATGAGAAAGCCAGTCCTGTCTTTGTGCTTGGACAGTGGTCACTACAGGAAAGAACCRTTTTCCCATATCATACCAGTAAGGTTAGGAAATCTAAAAATGTGTTTTTATTCCCCTTATGGAGATGTTAAAACTGCACTGATTTACAAAATGAACAAAACCAGAAAAGTCATTTTGAGCCTACCTTGTAGACWGCAAAGGATGTGAACACAGCAGAGCTGTACAGGAACAGTAAGGAYGAGACAACGATCATGGAGATGAGTTTTCCATTGCTGTGCTGCTTCCCTGATCCTTGATTAAAAATGAGTGTTACAATAAAGAGCAGTTCTGATTCACATCATTTTTTAAGACTCTGCATTCCAGCCCCCTTTCTCTGAGGAATTAAAAAACCTTATACCCATCAATATTTTTCTGGCTCATTTTCAGTCTAAATTCCTTAGTGGCATCATTTGCTTTTTATTTGCTCATAAATTTGCAAGGGCAATGGTGACCTGTTAGTTTTGATTACAGGCCCTTTCTTTAGGGATAGAGAGAGAATGGAATCCAGTTTTCTATTCTTGTAAAGGTGTATCTGAATAAAGCTCACAGGCTTCTGTTCAGAAATGGAATTAGAGGAAGGAAAGAATATAGAGGAAGTAATAATCCACCTGAGTGTTTCTGGGGTTTTTTTCTGTTTTAGACATGTAAAACTGAAATGTAGTTACTGAAGTTTCATCACTTTCTCAACTAGAAGGCAAGTGATAGAAAGGTTTAAAACCTTTTTCTCAGGTTGGGAGAGTGAATCCCCAAATCTGAGACCCTGCACACTCTTGCACATACTTCTACTAAATGTCTGTTTCTCTACTTCCCATTTTTCTGTTGATGCTTCCTTTCTGACAGCCATGAAAGTCTTTATGTAGGGGGATGTTGATTATGGTTAGGCAGCACAAGTACAAAACTTCTTTCTTTTGTTGAATTCTAGAGTCATCTTCATCATRTAACAGAGCTGCCTAATTAGCAAARGAGGTTTTGCTATTAACAACTTAATATAGTTCTACCATTCCTGATGGGTTTGTTGGTATTTTCATCTTAAATGTCATTCTTGAGAGTAAAAAGAGASTATTTAGAAAGGATAATTTACTTCTTCTAAGATGCTTCATTAAGAAGGAATGAACRACTGACCTGTTACCATTAGTACTGTTCCATCTCCTGTTTGTTTAGAAAGGGGTGAAGCTGAGTCTGAAAATGCTATTCCACAGATATAAACACCGTTGTCCTCAACAGTCAGATCTTTGATCTCAAGTAAAATGTTCTTTTCTGATGAATATACTTTGTACTTCTGATGATCTGTGCATGCCGGAGTACACAAATCCTGATGTGTATTCGTTAGAAAGCGAAACCACAGAACTTCTGGTGGGGATGAGGAGCATTCAGAAGCAGAGAATGTGCATGGCAGGGACACRTTGTTCACGGAGGAGTCAGCTTCCTGGAAGCGGGGTTGTGTTACAGTGACTCGGCAGGTACCTGCAACACCGGTGAGGTGAAAGTTGGTAATGTCAGCGACAGCTGAAAAGCAAGTACAGTCTAAAAAGAAAAAACTACTTCTGCTTCATTCAAGAAAAGGCGGGAGGAAAGGCGAAAACCAGCCATTTTTCAAGCTAGAAATGGTTAAGGTTGTTTTCAGCAAACTTTGTTTTTAGATAATCCCTACAGCTTGTACGTGGGTTCATTTAACACTTCTGTCTACGGGGTAATGCATTTGGCTTTCTATTTTCTGACAAAATAGAGAAGATTGGGAGGTCTGAAGCAGTGTCAATGTTTCCTTTGGCCCTGGAGACGACCAGAAGAATAGTTTGTGCTGTTCCCTGCCTGAGATTTAGTCCTGCATGTTTGGGGGTACTGGGCAGTGTGTGATGTAAGTGCAGGTCTCAGTGGAGCAATTCTGCAGGGTTTTCTCTCTCCTCCACTGGTACTGCTTTGAGTCAAGCCAGACAACCTGAAGGGAGGTCATGGAAATGTCATAAATCAAGACATTTATAATTTAGCAACTTCATAACATTGATTAGAATTCACAATAGTTCCTAGACATTCTTCYACTTCATCACATATATTGACTATAGGTTTCTAAGAATAATAGTGCATGTTAGATCTGCCATTTAAAAATGTGTGCAGAGAAAACGGGAAGGTTAATCAGAGAAGAGCATTCTAATTAAGGAACTAAAATGCGTGGTTTAATGTGACTAGTCTGAAAGATTTTTTAAAACCTCCTTATTGAAATCCATACTGTAAATTCTGGTTTAGTATATTTAATTTTGTTTGAATAAATTGTGTAGTTACTTAAACTATGACATTGAGATGATTGCCGTGAGAATAAAGATACTATCTAAACAGCATTCTTTTGTGCTTGCCAAAAAATAACAAATTAGAAAATAAATAAACTGAAGTTTCTTAGTGCACTGCTGATACACAATTTATAAAGCTGCCCATGGTGGACAATTAGCATTGTCCCTTCATCATTTTTCTCACCAAATCCAATCAGATTCAAGTGTCCTGACTTCTATAAGAATGAATTTAAACTGATTCTGTGTCAGGTCCATATCAGAGCCATTCCACAGCAGCTACAGGAATGTGAAGATTCGAAATTGTGGGTGTCCTTTCCCCCTGTGTGGTGAAAGGCAGCAGCTTGTGCTTCTGCAGCTGCTCCCATTTTCCACCCTGTCCACAGGCTCTGGTGTCCTTGCAGAGCAGAATCCACAACCTCAGGTCATGGAGGTGCTGCCTGCTGAACCCAAACCCTCCTCCCAAACAAGCACAGTTGCTCTGAAACCAGGCTGCTGCTGGGAAATTCAGCAGGGTTTGATCCAGAAATCACAGGTTACAGGAGCATTTCAGACTTTAGGAAGAAAAAAGCATTTGCTGGCAGTTGYGTACTTTGGAAGTTACTTGAAGAT